TCAGCGTTTCGTTGGAACTCAATGTAGCCTACCACTAACACTTCGATCCATATCAATGTCGAGATGGAGAAAGGCAATGGTTGCCCTAAGTAAGACGACCCATCCACTAGCTCGACCTGGTAATCCAAAAACAATCAGACAAATGTCCAAACGCATACGGGAAAAGGGAAACGGTATTTAAAAAAAAAAAAAAAAAACGAGAGAGACGAGAAAGAGGCTATCTATAGTACCTTGCCGGCGTCTTGCCAAGTAACACCGGTGAGCCATTCGACGGTGAGAGCGCCAAGGGTGGCGAGCATTGCCCACCGACCGTGAATCAGCTCACATTCTCTGAATCTCTGGAGCCCGAAGACTTCACTGTAGGGCTGAAACGGCGTCGATTTGGGGTCCACCGCCTCGGTACGTGTCCCGATCACGTCTCCGTATAAGTTCTTGGCGAGGTTCTGGTCCAGGGAGTCCAGATCAAACTGGAGGTACTCCGCCGGTTTACCTAAACCGAAAGGGTCGAACCCGTAGTCTCCGACCAGCGAACCGTCGAGATACTCAGGGGATTTTGCACCTGGGAACCATAAAGGCCGGTCTGAGATAACCGTCTTAGCCTTTTTGGGAGCGGCTTTCTTGGTTCCGAATGCGAACCGGGCAGTGAATCTGCCTGAACCAGAGTGGATGTCGGAAACCACCCGTGTACCCATGATTGAAGAAGCAGCGGCGGCTGTCGAAGTGGCGGCCATCTCCGGCGTCGTTTGTTTACTCTGCGTTTGCGGTTTGTAATTTTTTTTCTGTAAAAGATACTAATAATCAAATGGCGTCTCTAAGTGGCCCGTATATGTGTGGGAGAGATGATGAAGCTTGGAGATCTCAGAGAACGTATCTCCTCCGTTAGATGGAGAAACAAATCCATCTGACGGTTAGAAGTAAACTCCGCCTTATCTATTACCAAGCTAGCGTTATCTTCTCTATCCTGTCTTTTTAGAATCTTTAGAGAGAGAGAGAGAGAGAGAGAGAGAGAGAGTTAGATGAAGCAAGAAGCTGATTGGGCAAAAGAAGCTATTGGCGAATCTCTTACGAATGCCACTTGTCACTTCAGCAGCACTTCTGTGCCTTGCAAATTAAACAAGAATACCCATTACATTAGTCTTTGAATTTTTATAATCCGGTTCGGTTAACTCAAACTCACCGAAAAGAATCCAAACAATTGATTCGGTTACAATTCTCTCAATCCACAAAGGACGATGTCTCTCTCTGGCTTGGCCTCGTCTTGTGAAATTCGAACAACGCTTCTCATTTGAAAATTTTGATTACACAATCGCATCCGAAACATTACAATAGACCAAGACAGGACAGCTAACTGTTGCACAACCAAATAGTACATACACAAGAAAAATAAAATTACAGTCGGGGAAAATAAAATCTTAGAAGCAGAGTCTTCAGATACTTCCGGAATTGATGATGATCCGGCAACACGTAAAAACTTTGGCGACAGCACTCAATCAGATCGCAGTGAAGGCTCAAGTAACCAAATATTAAGCAACGAAAACGTTTTACTTTAAGAAGAGAGCTGGAAACGGCCGCTTGGTTTTTTTCTTCTCCATCCCTGCCAAAACACATATGATTCTTCAGATACTTGTACAGAATACAAAAATGAGGAGTAACATCAACAAAGACTTACAAAGGCAATGTAATATAGGAAGGTTAGTCCAGCCAGTATAACAAACCCGATTTGGAACACATTGTACCTGAAATATACAACCTCGTTCGCTCAGTAGGACTAGTAACGAATATAATAAAAGACTGCCATATGCTAAACCAGATTCTACTTACTTGTAGAGGTACTTAATTCCTCTAAGGGATTGCAATGTGTGACCAAAGATCTCCTGAGCAGCAGTCGCTTGTGCGTAATATCCAAATGCAGTGGCACAAAATTGAATCACACTGCATATTATATGAACCCCATTACTCAAACTGTGAGGATTAACATGTCATTGTGAAGGTAGCAGCAGTCAATTAGCCCAAAATGTCTTGGTTTGATGTCCAAGAGATAATGATGGGTACCAAAGTGCATGAGTAAAGTAGTCATAAATTTTGATTCATGCATTAGGCAAAAAGGAAATTAGTTTTCGTGATGGCACGACAACACTGATTAGCAAATGTAAGTAAGCACTAAGCACGCTTGCTCTAGATCCGTTTATCAGAGTGAACTCGATCCCATCAAGTATAGAGGCAGAAAAGAAGAGATCGGAGAGACTTACCTGATTGAACAAAGAAGAATGAGCCCGACATTGAAGAGGAAAGAGTTCATTAAAGTAGCTCCCCATCTGAAATAAAGTTGATATGGCCAATCAGAAATCAAAGAAAAGGGAATGAATGACCTCATAAAATAGCCAAACACTGTTAAACACTAAAACCCATTAGATGGCTTACTTCATTGGATGAATGGTAATGAAGACCAGCTTCAAACCCAGCATCATTGCCCCAGCGATAACAGCAAGTAGAAGGTAGAAACAGAAGAAAGCAAAGGCAGCAGTGCCCAAAAGACCTGGAAATTTCCACAATTCCAGCATGAAGTCAATCAGATATACAAATAAAAGCCTTCTATAGGATCACAAGAACAGAAGTAAGAACTTACCCCAGACATCATCAAGCTTAATGAAAACCTCGTTAAGAAAAGGGGAGAGAGGAGGATCGACGAGTAGATATATGATGATATGCGCAACCCAAGCAATGGAAACGATCAATCTACAAAGATATAAAGAAAATCGCCATTCGAAAAGACACGTAGCTCGAGCTCAAGAACTATGCATGATTATATAACATTTTTAAAAAATAAGGCTGTAAAGAAAAACATGCAAAGAAAAGTTTTTGCATAGAGTTACTAACCCTAAGATTCCAAGAATAAACTTGGCCAAGTATCCAAGTACAGTGAAAGCCCAAGCAGTTTCTGCCTGAAAAAAAAAATCCAGGGAATAAAATTGTTGAGCAACAAAAAGTTTATAGATTAAGTTCTAAGTACACTCGTCTTACCTGCTCTCCTTGAGGATACATCTCTTCTAAGAGGTTCACATCTTCCTCCAATTGGAGCAACTCCTGCAAGGTTACCACATTCAATTATAGGATTCAGGAGACACAGCTTAAATCCACAATCAAGCAAAGTAAGACTACCAATAAATTCAATGACTATCATAACCAATTCTACTATCTCAGTAGCTTTTCATTACAAGTTTTCATTCCAATAACTCCACACACGACCAAAGTTTCTATACAAGTCAGGGACTAGTATCAATAGGCCAACTTTCCAAGTTTCTACATATGAAACCAAATTTAGATAAGATACTGAAACTTGAGAGAAATAATGTACCTTTTCTACTGCTTTCACATTTTTCCTCCATTTCCTGCCCTTAGCACCACTTCTTTCTTCCTGATGAAGTCCATCAGCTGCTTTCTTTAGTTCTCTTGCCTTTTTACCTAGTTCGGTTGCCTCCTGTATAATAGTTATGGAGTTAACCAAGCAAGAGACAGTGGGAATCAACATCTAGAAGAGATTCTTCCAAAGAAGAACAATAACCAGACCTTTATATATTGTGATCTAGTGATAACAGCTTTTGGTCGCCTGATGAAAGCAGTGATAAGTCCCAATGGTAGACTTGCAATACCAACACCACCAAATATCTAAAAGTATTTAAGAGAAGAATTAATTTTTTTAAGGAAAAATATAAATTAAAATTACTTAAATGAATACAGATCTTTCCATGCATTTCATTTGTTGAGAGTTTGTGTAAGTCAATGAAAAAACAACAATATAAGACAGGCTAGATACTTACAAAGCAAAGTAGCAAACAATGCACTTCTCAACAAGATAAAACAACGCTCATACCGTAAAAAGAACTGACCCAACAATGGTGGCAAGAGCAACAACGTATTCTGGAAAAGTAGTACGCATGGTCCATGTTTTCTCCGATGCGGGATTAGCTGTAAATGCTGAGCACTGCATATATTAGCCAGGGACAGGAAATATGTTACATGCTGAAACTCTTTATGACATAAATGACTCATGATATAAGAAACCAATGCAAATTATGTAATCAAAAGAAAAACATTACCTGTCGAGCAGTGTTACCGATGCATGGTTGAGTATTTGAAAATTGCCAGGAAGTAGGGAAAGAGGATGTGGCAGAAGCCAAGTGCCTGACAGAGAAGTCAACCTTTCCAATGACACCTAATATGATGTAAAAGAATATTAGAAGAAGGAATCCAAGGAATATGAAACTAAACACAAGCATGAATGGCTCCTTGTAGAGTTAATAAGATTACTTGTGTATGTAAGATGTAGGTATTCTAAGCTATTCCCTAATACATTAATCCAGGCCCAAATCAGGTAATTAACCAGCTTAATGCAGTCAAAAAATTTCAAATCGTAGTGACCAACATTAGAGCCATCCAATGTTACAAGCTCACTAAGGGTTTCAAATACCACTCCAGCTAAACAAGTGTAACCTCTCAACTTCCATCAGTAGAGGAAGATTCTGAAGTATAAGTCAACAAAAACACAGCAACTACTAACCGTATAAAATTCCAAGCACCAGAGCACAAACAACAGCCGTGGTTACCACCCAAATTAAGGCACTTTTTATCCTCTTTCCAAGAGTCCTGTATGAACAAAAAGAGAGTAAAACCCATGTTAACAATATCGGATTAACAAACAAGTAATAAATGTAGAGAAAACAAAGATACGAACTTGTCCTGGTCGCCTTCATAGAAAAACATTGCGAAGGGGATGACAAAGAAGACGAGGATAGCGTCCACAATGTAAATGGCAAGCCAAAGATCCTTCATGGGCAAGGTGAGATTGCAAGCGCCGTTGTAAATAGCATGTCGACAAGCATGCCGATTAGCCACATCCGCGGGTAACATGAGAATCGATATCATAGCAATAGACAGCCCAAAAACAACCACGAATTTGGGGAAATAAGCCTGGTTCGCATCATCAGGATGCTGGTAGTTTACGAGGAGATAGATGCTTGAGATGAAAACAATGACGCACACAACGATCGCTACAATCACGAGAGCGAGGTTGAAATCGCCCATCGTGTGCAATGCACAAGGTCCCCAATTCCGGAGATTTCGATCTCGGAACGACTTTTCGGAACGATTGAAAAATCTTGGGTTTTCTCAGAGTTCAAATTTGAAAATTGAATATGGGGATTTTTAGTAGATCTGGATATTCTTCCTTTTTTCCCTCTCGAAACCCAGACGAGGGAAGGAGAGAAAGAGGGACGCGATGAACGTTCTTGTAAATTACGTAGTTACCCTCATCCATGTGATGTAGTTGCATGGGATTATTGTGGCTGCAGTGCCAAATGGTTTTGGGTGTAAACGTAAATTACTATTAGGTTCGCAGATTAGCTGTCGGAAACAAATCATTCGGACAAATATATTTCAACTACTGTCAAAAGACATCTGTTAAACCAGAACCGCGCCGTCTAGTGTGCTCAATTGTTACTAAGCCAGACATAATAATTCTAAGGACAAAAATGTCTCAGAAGGTCTCCCCACACACACACACACACTTCAGCATGAAAAAAAAGAAAAAACTAATTTAACTACTCTTTTGGCCAAGGGACTGTAACAGTACAAGTAGTTTAAGTAAATAGTATGATGCACCTCCTATAGTCGCGAACCGTAGCTCTTCGGTCCCTTCGATCTCTGGAAAATCTCCTTCCGTGGCTCGGTTAAATCCTCCGGTTAACCACCCTAAGCTTTTGTAACCTTCTCCGTGGAGCTTTGATACAGCCATCAACGACCTGCGATTGATAAAGACAAATAACCATTATATACCAAATCAACCGATATTGAACCGGTTTGATTTTGGATACGTAAGTTAATACGACCCTAAACCAAAATCTGCCTATTAATTACAAGACTGTAAAGATCAAACCGAAGTCAATGATAAACCAAAATGAAAACATCATCAGCTGGGTTACCTGAGTCCTTCACCGCACACGACGAGCACTTTACTCTCTTTGTCCGGGACAGCCTCCACAACACGGAGGGTGAATTCGTCATTGAACATGGTGAATCTCTGGCCTGTCCAAAGCCCAATGTATCCTAAATGGATCCATTTCTTCAGCAACGTAATCAGCCCATTGTCTGTATCCTCCACGAACAGTGGCACGTGTAATGACCCTTTCACACGTGCCTTTTCTCTTTCCCAGGCCGGCCTCACGTCTAAGAGCATGTAACCCTCCGACGCCACAACCGTCTTCGCTTCTTTCGGCTCCACGGCCCGGACCTTGCCGGAAAGAATCAGCTCCTTACCGGACACAGCGGAGATCACTGGTAATCTGTATGGTTTTCGGAGGCGTCGGTATGGTACAAGTGGTGGCTTGTGGATATGGTTTGATTGAGGAAGAAGAAGTGTCATCTCTTACTTTTTGCCTTTTTGGATTTCTTGAGAAATTTAACCAATTATGTATATTTTTCTTTAGAATTATTTTTTGCTTACTCGAGGATAAAGAACACCCGATAGTTACAAGTTATTTCCGTTTTAGTCCTCAGATATTTCAAAATTTAGTTATCACTCCAATGGGCCAAATTAAAAAATAAACTATTTAAGGGCCAATTAAGTGTAAATTACTTTATCTTTAAACGACGCCGTGTTATAACAGTTGAGCTTGGTATACCGAACCGAAAACAAAACCGGGAAAGCCCAAATAATAGAACCATTTGGATAAATTTCTGATGTCTCCATTAAAATTCCGAACCGGTACGGAATGATCCACCATTGAGGAAGATCGAGTAGAAAACTAAACGAAGAGGCGAATCAAAAGAAGAAAGAGGAAGAAGAAGGAGAAGGGAAGCAAATAGCAATGGGGGTCGATTATTACAAGGTTCTTCAGGTGGATCGGAACGCAAAAGACGATGACTTGAAGAAAGCTTATCGGAAACTGGCCATGAAGTGGCATCCAGACAAGAACCCTAACAATAAAAAGGACGCCGAAGCTAAATTCAAGCAGATCTCTGAAGCTTACGATGTAAATTCTCTTATACTAACTCGAATTCTCTGACCTGTGTATTGCAATACTGTATCTTTTTTTCTTCTAGCTGTCCCTTTTTCTTAATATTTTTTTTGGCATGAACTTGAGCAGTTTTGTAGATATCTTAATTCACTATGGTTACTTCTCTGTCAATTAAGTAATCTCGTCAATTATAGAGTAGTATTTGATCAATTCCTTGTGCTTTTGGATTCGTTAAGGTTTTGAGCGATCCTCAAAAGCGAGCTATCTATGATCAATACGGTGAAGAAGGTCTAACGAGCCAGGTTCCGCCTCCCGGAGCCGGCGGGTTTTCCGGTGCTTCGGATGGAGGGGCTTCGTTCCGGTTTAACGGTAGAAGTGCTGACGACATCTTCTCGGAGTTCTTTGGCTTCACGAGACCCTTTGGTGACTCACGTGGTGCAGGTCCCTCTAATGGGTTCCGCTTTGCCGAAGACGTTTTCGCCTCCAATGTTCCTCCGAGGAAAGCTGCCCCTATTGAGAGACAACTTCCTTGTAGTTTGGAGGATCTTTACAAAGGAATCACTAAGAAGATGAAGATCTCTAGAGACGTCCTCGATTCAAGCGGGTCAGTTTTTCAGCTACATTGCCATGTATTGAGTTTTATGAATCACCTTTTTATGGATTTAAGTTCCAAAACATTGATATGCTTACTAGGTCTAATATTAGTGTCCTCTGTGACCATGTTTTAGTTTTTGAATTCTGAAGATTTAAAATAGACAGATACATGGAAAATGTGATAAGAGACTAGTTATTACCATTGGATAGGTTCTATAGGACTCATATATAGTGAAGTTTTGTAAATTCCGTTTTTCTGGAGTTGTTGGGCACTTGGATAAGTATGCAGTGAAAAGTGAGTGTATTCGAGAATATTAGGCGGGGGACATAAGAGTTGCTTTGTGTGCTGTGATGTTATTGTTATCGGTAATGCAAGTTGGAATTGCATTCTTTTTTCTCATGCAGGAGACCCACAACGGTTGAGGAGATCTTGACAATAGAAATCAAGCCAGGGTGGAAGAAAGGGACGAAGATAACCTTCCCGGAGAAAGGGAACGAGCAGCGAGGAATTATCCCGTCAGATCTTGTATTTATAGTTGATGAGAAGCCACATGCTGTTTACAAGCGAGACGGGAATGACCTTGTGATCACACAGAAGATCCCTCTCGTGGAAGCCCTTACGGGTTACACCGCTCAGGTCACTACTTTGGACGGAAGAACAGTAACAGTTCCGATCAACAGTGTGATCAGTCCTTCTCATGAAGAGGTGGTGAAAGGCGAAGGCATGCCAATCCCTAAAGACCCATCGAAAAAAGGGAACTTGAGAATCAAATTCAGCATTAAGTTCCCGTCGAGACTAACAACAGAGCAGAAATCTGGAATCAAACGAATGTTTTCGTCTACTTAGTCTCGCTCTTACTGCTACGTTTGATTTTGGTTATATCAGTTGGCGATTTGGGTGGTCGTTGTGCAATGCTTAGGATTGTGGCTGTGTGGGTGTTTGTTGGGAGATGGTTGGGTCATGAAATGATGCCGCATTGAGGTTTCTCAACATCCTTCAAAGCTTTTGGTTTGGGGTTTTACATTTTAGTATAATTTTTTTGTTTATCTCTTTTTAAATTATTATTAGATTGAAGAAAAAACAACTACATAAAGACTATTTACTTCTTTAGAGTTTGTTAAGAGCTTCCTAATATTTTTTTCTGAAAAAAAAAAAAAAAGGGGAAACATATCAACGCAACTTTTCATGCTTAGTTCTAACAAATATTCCACAAACAGACGGATGGTCACGTGGTTTGGGTTTAGAGAGTTATGGAGGTCAGGTGGTGAGAGTCGTGATTATGGGTTGTGATGAAAACATGAAAAATAAGAAACAACAACAAACATGTTTTCGCATAAAAAGACGGAAGTTACACTTTTTCCGTTTAAGAGTGAATATAATATATTTCCATCTAGTCTTTATAAATACCAAAGAGTCATCTTCATTATCATACATCTCTCTTTGTCTTTGCAATCATAGCTACTCTTTTCTTCCTTGTTGTTTGAAATGACGCAATTGTATTCTTCCGTGAAACCCACGCCAATGTTGAAAGATGAGCTGGACATTGTGATACCTACGATTCGAAACCTGGACTTCCTTGAGATGTGGCGACCCTTCTTTGAACAGTACCATTTGATCATTGTTCAAGATGGTGATCCTTCGAAAGCCATCAAGATTCCAGAAGGGTTTGACTACGAGCTCTACAACAGGGACGACATCAACCGGATCTTGGGTCCCAAGGCCTCCTGCATTTCCTTCAAGGATTCTGCTTGCCGTTGCTTCGGTTACATGGTCTCTAAGAAGAAGTACATCTACACCATTGATGATGACTGCTTTGTAAGTGCTTTCTTATTTGTGCTATGTGCAAAAGTTCTCAGACTAATAGTTTTTCAAGCAAAAGTTGACAACATATGTGCAATGTAGGTTGCAAAGGATCCATCCGGGAAAGACATCAATGCGCTTGAGCAGCATATCAAGAACCTCCTGTCTCCATCAACCCCACATTTCTTTAACACACTTTATGATCCATACAGAGATGGGGCCGACTTTGTTCGTGGTTACCCTTTTAGTATGCGAGAGGGAGCCATAACTGCTGTCTCTCATGGCCTCTGGCTCAACATCCCTGACTATGATGCTCCCACTCAGCTTGTGAAACCTCTTGAAAGAAATTCCAGGAAATTTGATCTCTCACTGAGGCAACCAATTTTGTTATGCATCCTTTTTGTGAAAGTTTAAACAATGAAGCAATGCTTATTGGTTAGTTCTTGGTCATATGCAGGTATGTTGATGCAGTCATGACCATTCCCAAAGGAACTCTTTTTCCTATGTGTGGTATGAACCTCGCTTTTGACCGCGAGCTGATTGGTCCGGCCATGTACTTTGGCCTTATGGGGGACGGACAGCCAATCGGACGCTATGACGACATGTGGGCTGGTTGGTGTGTCAAGGTAAATCCAACTCTTAGCTTTTCTTTGGCCAACTACATGTGTTATGCCACGCATTATTATGCGGATTTGAACTCAAGGTGACTCAATGACACCGCTTATCAGTTCTCATGGTCAAATGCAATTCTTATTTACATATCCATCTTTGGTTTAAATGAAAGTACGTTACATTTGTCTACCAGACTTAAAATAATTATTCGTTTAACCAAAAATATAGGTGATATGCGACCATATGGGATGGGGAGTGAAGACAGGGTTGCCTTATATATGGCACAGCAAAGCCAGCAACCCATTCGTGAACCTGAAAAAGGAATACAACGGAATCTTTTGGCAGGAAGAGGCAATACCCTTCTTTCAATCTGTGACTCTTCCTGAAGAATGCACTTCGGTTCAGCAGTGCTACCTTGAGCTGGCCAAGCTCGTGAAAGAGAAACTTGGGAAGGTTGATCCTTACTTCAACAAGCTTGCAACTGGAATGGTCACATGGATCGAAGCTTGGGAGGAGCTTAACTCCGCGGAAGGAACTGAGGCCAAGGCACCAAATGGCAAAAGTGAGTAAAAGAGATGGTTCTGTTTACTAAGAAATGAGGGTTTGACCCTCTCTGTTTCTCTTCATTATAATTGGAATTGCTTCTGTTTTTTTTCTTATCTTGTCATCAGTATTTGTGTTCTCAGTCCATTGAGGAAAAAAGGTGTAATGTGCTCTATGTATTTCCTTTTCTTTTCTTTATGGTTTCTATCTATGAATTTATTAATCATTCCTATTTTTCTTGATCTGAGAGCAAAATTATTCAGCATCCAAAAGTTGAAGGGATTTCCTATTATTGCAAAGAAACTAGCTCTGGCCATTTTCTTAAGCAGTAACTCAGTAAATAGTAAATACACAAGGACATAAGGACATTGTTGTTTGGTATACTGACCATCTTCTTCAGCTTATCAAATTCATGAACTTCAACAGAATTGAAACTCAACATATACAAAAACCATATTTTTATTTTTTTTAAAGAAGAAGCTTGAAACTTACAAGATAGAGGTTGGAGAAAGAGGATAAAAGAATTGGGGATTACCAGCAAAACAGAGCTAGAATTTATCAATCTCAACGCCATCTCTTAGAACCTCATAAGCATCTCGGCTTCTGCTTTTCTTCATCCCAGCCATGAAATGTACCTTTGAAGAATCAGCAGAAATACTTGTGACTTTAACCCATATCATTACTTTTGTCTTCATCCCTTCAACATCGGCTAGCTTTCCTTTCTCGAGAAAAGCGGTAACTGTAGTGGTGAATCTCAAGACTGATGAATCTTTGTAGCCAACTTCACAGATTGATGGAATAAAGACGGTTAGTTTCCTCGTCTGTTCATTGAACTCGTAGTTGGTTGCGTCACGTGGAAAGATTCCAACAGGCAAACCAAACTCCTTAAGTAACTCGGGCAATGGCTTCTGCATTTTTCCTGATAACGAGATCAGAAACCAACAACTTAGATGTAGCTCCTCCTTAAATGTGAAATGAAACAGCACAGCAAGAATGAGAGAGTAAGAAATAGCCAACCTTTGATTTTGTTCACCAGCCATTTTGTTCCTCCTTCAATACTCGTCGAGAGAGACTGGAACAAAAAATGTTACAGATTATGGAAGATCAACATTGCGCAAGTGAATTAAACAGGAGAAGTAAATCACGTTTTGATAAAACCACAAGCAACACTATTAGCACAAAACGGCCTCAAAATAATATAATCTAAGGATCTTCTTCATTATAAGCCACGATTCACCTAATGTAATCACAAATAGCCTCAAAACTGAAGCATCGCAGTAAACTCATATTCAATCCAACGAACATATGACAGACTGGCTAGAAAAATGTAGAAATCAAGCGCAATTGCGATTCTGAGTGAAGAAAGAAAGAGCTACATCACCATTTACCAGACTAAGATTAACAGAAACCATAGATCGATTAAGACACGGTACAAAAGATGAAAGCATCAGATCGACTCATAGCCAAAATTGATGATACGCGAACGATTATAAAAAAAATGCAAGTAGTAGTGAAGGAGTAGTAGAAGAGGAGATGCGTGCGTACGTTGATATCGTCACCGACGGAATCGAGCTGCTTGTTCGCCTTCTTACCTAACCAGTACGAGCCTACCTTGTTCAAGATCTGATCCATTCTCTCTCACAGTCACAGATCGTCTCTCTCTCGCCCGAGATCGGAGGTGTCTTTTTATTTCTTCTATCACCCATTCATTTAATTTCGTTACTTCGTATTAACATTATAAACCCCCAATTATCTGTTGACACGTAAAGGCCGATATGGATTGTAGAACTAACAATTAAAATTAAAACTTTATAACACGTTACTGACAGACTTACAGTGAAAAATAGTGACGTAAGCCCATAAGGCTAACATACGCCAGCAAATGTAATTTCTCATCCAACAGTCACACACCATGACACGAAGCTAGTACTAACACCGATAAAAGCCATGGATGGCTTCAAGGGCAATTTCTTCATTCACCCACCAAACCCACAACTCCATCACGGCACCACTTATTATGTTGCTGATCCATAAGCTCCTTCATGTTCTTGATCATCTAATTCTATTATCAAGAATTCACTTTCATAGAGGTTTTAAAGGGGGGGAAATAATGACCTGCAAAACACACACACATATATATATCTATAAAGCCAAAAGACATATTCTAGTTTGGTTTGTGGATCTTAAAATACTGTATTATAATATCCCATATATGCTAACCACATAAGCCAAGCATAAATAATAAACCCATTCACATAAGAAAATCAGAAAATCACACATTCGAACGAAAACAAAAAAAAAAAGCAAAGGCAATAGTTTTGGAGAGGAAAAACAAGGCAACACAAACAAAAAATTCATAACAAAAACAACACAAACATCCATTACAAAAACAACCAAACAAGGCAACACAAACAAAAATAAGACCGAGAGGTCGCAAGAGATACATATGTGCCCTCCCTTCCTCTGAAAGCCGAAGATGAGAAGATCAAATCTGAAACTGAGATAGAAGAACAACGAGATCACAACTGGAACCAAAATTATTGAGATAAGTCAAATAGAACAATCTGCACAGAAAAACACAATCAGGAGAACGGCAGTAGCAGCTGTTTGGATTTGACACTTGACAGGTATCTCTGCACATATTGAATTGCAAGGAAACTTGCAGTGAATATATTCATAGATTGATGATAATGTTACAGGAGTAGAGGATTCATAATCAAATCACAAATATCCAAATTATATAAGCAGAAAGTGTTTACATCAAGGAGTGGTAGTTGGTAAAGAGTGTTTTTGGTTGCTAAGGTAGAACTGAGACTGATCAAACAAAAATATCATACAAACGAACTAGTGTCAAGTCTGTCTATTGCTTGTTTATGATGCTCCAGATACTGTTACATGTCTCGTAGGCCGTCATCTTATTTGTCTCAAATTGAAACTTCTCAATGACCCTCGTTTCACGATCTACCATATCTATTATGTTTTCCAAAATCAAGGATTCCAAACAGCCAAGGATAAAAGTTATTTAAGATATATATATATATATATATAAGAAAGACTTTGAGAGAATAGAGTGATGATGAAAGAAAAGGATACAGCCTGAGATCTTTGATGGATCATCAATGTCCGGTATAACTTTCGTGACAGAAGCATACATAGATAGCTTTTTCCTGCAGAGAAAACAAGAGAGAACATGAAATAGAATGAGAAATTCGAATGTAGTGAACATTCACAACAAGCAATTGCACAATAGGGTTTGTGAATCATACACAGTTCTCAAGTCGTCCCGCTCTTTTCTCTTTGTAGATTGCTTATGTTCATCAATTGAAGTCAATTGAGCATTCAGGTCATTAAGTTCATCAGCGACCACTGTATGGACAAAAAAAGGACTAAAGATTGATTCTTCGTGTCACTAAATCAATGGACTTAAAATAATTTCACTGAAATCAAACAATACTTATCTAAGCTCGTCTTTAAGCTTGCGCTCCAGTTCCATTTCTTCGTCGAGCTCTTTCTGAAGACGTTCAATTTCATCTTCAGCCGCAACATCTGAATATGCTTCCTCCGTTTTCTTCTTACAGACATCGAGTTTCTTCTTACAATCTGCGTCCCAAAAATTAAAAATTAAAAAAATCCTCACTCAATCCAACACCGAACGATGTATAGCTAAAGCAGGTACTTCATCTAATAAATTTTATCTGGAGAACCAAATCGGAAAACTGACCATGGATAGAGCCATGTATCTCACTGAAATCCTCATCGCAAGCGGAATTGAGAGCTTTTAACTGCTCGAAACTTTGAGATATCACATCAAAACCATTCTTAACATCCAATAAATTGATCAAATCGTCTCCATAAGACATCAGATCCTCAATATCGAAATTCTCCGACCCATTTCCCATTTCTGATGCCGAAAATGACAAATCCACTAACTAGCAGTAAAGCCCTAGGCTCAAGATTATCCGCACCTCAAGAGTCAAGACCCTCACCTATAGAAACGTAGATTCGAGGAAGGAGATACCAAGTTGTTCGTGATATTGCCTCTGTGCTGCAGATGAACACACAAAAAGAAACGGAAATTTTCCAAACAGAAAAAATTGAAACGAAAAAAAAAAAAAAAAATGAAACGAAGAGAGGAGGGAGAGATGAAGAGGAAGATCTGATTTTTGATTTTTTTTTAGTCAAAATCAGTGTAACAGTGACACACAAATTTACTGCTTACAAAAGTGAACACTAAAATGGGCCAAGCCCATTCGTTTTCACTTTTCGTAATGGGCTAACAAAATTTATAACCAATACCGTTCAGATTTTAGCGGTGTCTTCCCTTTAAAAAGGGTAATCATAACTCAGTTTTGTCAACTTCTGTATTTTGGTTTGTTTTTGGTCGACTATGATTTTGTCAAAGTATTGATAACGCATTTACGTGAATATCATGAAAGTCATCACCTCCACACAAAATTCACTAACGGTTCAAAAAAACTGACCACACAAGCAGTCCAAAAGACTTTGACTTTGAACATTTCTATACTTCTTCGTCATTGAGAGCATAAAAACATGTCCTTACCTTGCTTGAGATTACCTTAAACACAAATGTTCTCTTTTACTTCATAACAAAGTCAAAAGCTCAAAGATACTCGATGGGCGTATCAAGATCCATAAGCTCTTTCATGTTCTTGATCTTTCTAATTCTATCATCGAACGTTTTTAAATGGTCTGTTCTTGTTGAGGCCACAACAGCAGCAAGATTCACATTCAGAGGTTTCAAAGGAAACCAAACAGAGATTCAAACAGAAGGAGCTTCCACAATCCAACGCGACAATGATCTTCTTAGACTAACTGATCGGAACCACAACGTCACTGGAACAGCCTTTTACCGCAAACCTATTAGATTGCGTGACTACACCAATTCATCCAACTTCAAAGTATGTTCCTTTAGCTCTTCTTTCGTCTTTGTCATAATCCCTTCAAGTCCCGGAAACGGTGGTTTTGGATTCACGTTCACACTTTCTCCGACCCCGAATCGTCCCGGAGCAGAATCAGCACAGTATCTAGGGCTTTTGAACAGATACAACGACGGGAATCAATCGAATCACGTGTTCGCTTTGGAATTCGACACGGTCCAAGGATTTAAAGACGGTGCCGACCGAAGAGGAAACCACATCGGTCTCAATTTCAACAGTCTCTCCTCCGATGTACAAGAGCCGCTCATTTATTACGAGACCGCTGATCGAAAAGAGGATTTCCAGCTCGATAGCGGCGAACCAATCAGAGTTAATCTCGATTACGACGGATCCAGCAAAACCTTTAACGTTACAATCTATCCGACGCGATTAGGGTTTAAACCTAAAAAGCCTATGATCTCGGGACGAGTTTTGGAGCTGTCGGGGATCGTGGAGGAGGAAATGTATGTCGGGTTCACTGCCGCGACTGGGAAAGACCAGTCTAGTGCTCACTTTGTAATGGGTTGGAGTTTTGCTAGCTGTGGAGAAAAGCCAGTGGCGGATTGGCTCGATCTCTCGCAGCTTCCTTCTCCACCACCAAATACAAGCTTGCGTAACAAGAAAGGTTACGCCTCTAGAGTTATTGCTTTGATTGTAGCTTTATCGATCGTTACAGTGGTCTTGCTTGTGTTACTGTTCGTATTCGTCATGTACAAAAGGAAAATCCAAGAGGAAGAGATTTTAGAGGATTGGGAGATTGATTATCCTCATAGATTCAAATACAGAGATCTCTACTTAGCAACGAAGCGATTCAAAGAGAGTGAGATCATCGGTACTGGAGGGTTTGGAATCGTTTACAAAGGAAATCTATCTTCTTCGGGTCCAATCGCAGTGAAGAAGATAACTTCAAATAGCTCACAAGGTGTTCGTGAATTTGTCGCAGAGATCGAGAGTTTAGGGAGATTAGGGCATAAGAACCTCGTGAATCTTCAAGGATGGTGCAAACACAAAAACGAGCTTTTGTTAATTTACGATTATATCCCCAACGGAAGCCTCGACTCGCTGTTGTACAGAAGAAACGGGGTCGTGTTGCCGTGGGACGTGCGTTTCGAGATCATAAAGGGAATCGCGTCGGGTCTATTGTATCTTCATGAAGAATGGGAACAAATCGTGATTCACAGAGACGTGAAAGCTAGCAATGTTCTTATTGACGAAGATATGAACGCTAAATTAGGCGATTTTGGACTCGCGAGGCTTTATGAACGCGGGACGCTATCGCAAACCACGAAAGTCGTTGGTACTTTAGGTTACATGGCACCTGAGCTCACGCGTAACGGCAGAGGCTCCACCGCGTCTGATGTTTTTGCGTTTGGCGTTTTAGTGTTAGAAATCGTTTGTGGGCATAGACCAACGAATACAGAGAACTTCTTCTTAGCTGATTGGGTTATGGAGTTCCACACAAACGGTGGAATCCTTAGCGCCGTGGATCAGAAACTCGGATCTAGCTTCAATGGAAGAGAAGCTAGATTAGTTCTTGCTGTGGGACTACTATGTTGCCATCATAAACCAAAAACTCGGCCATCGATGAGAATGGTGCTTAGATATTTGAACGGCGAAGAGGATGTTCCACTGATTGACGAAGATTGGGGATTGTCAGATTCTTCGAGGGATGAACTTAGAATGAATGTTGTTGGTTATGTTTCATCCGATAGAGCCTCGACGTCGAATACTTTTTCGTCTTTCTCGGGGGTTTCTTCAAGCTCTGTCGTTAGTGGTAGATAGTTTCGTTCATAGCACTTCTAGGATAACTTAGAACAGTGTTAACTTGTTAATTGTTATGGTCTAATTCATGAATACTTAACGTTACCTTTAAAAAGTGTGAAACAATTTAACTTTTTAAAAAAAAAAACACAAGAAACGAACGAACGAGAACTAAAATCTTATTTTAATTTGTATGATGTCTTAAATTCAGATGTATGATGCGTTGTCGATTATGTCTTATTATGGTCTAGTGGAACCCATTAAACTAAGTGAGTGCCATAGGGGTTCATTGTTTCCACTGGAAACTTTCCAGCTTTACTAGTAATATGTCTTTGTCAAACATTTGTTTGTAAACAACGGAAATCAAAATACTGTAGCTAGCAAAGAAAATATCTTATTACTTCCAATGCAAACAAATTACAATATTCCGTTTAGTTTGCTTTTGTTAAGTCTACTACGACTTTGATTGGTGCATGGTGATTGAAAACAAAGCAAAACACGACCAAAGCCCTAGCTATGATGACTCGTTTTTAAAAAAACTTTGTTGTAATTAAAGTGTGAATACATGGCAATGCGATGAGAAATTGAGATTTGAGACTATACGAAATGAGAATTGACCGAATTAGATAAGACTAACAGGTCCGTTCCATTTTAATTGGACCGTGTAGAGCAATTTTAAGTGGAGGAAATAGAAAAATACTATATAGAATAAGTTGAATCCCCAATTATTTGAAGATGTGATTCAAAATTATTATGATTGTGGCTCGGTAGGTTGATGGTTTCACTTTCGTTACACAACGACAAGTGAACGACGAACCAATGCCTCAGTTTGTGTCCAGGTTCATGATGGGGCTTGCCTATAATTAGAAACGTGTATTGAAAGAAAACGTACAACTTTTTCAATTGGCTAGAGTTTAGAACCAATGATTTTGTTATGAACACAACTGAAATTTTCATAACAATATAGAACAAAAATCTTATAATCTAATTGTTTTGTTACTGTGATAAGTGTTTATATGCTTCATATACACCGATGCATCTTGTTTTATACGTGATACGTTGTATAAAACCATGAATCAGACTATCACTATCCTACAAGTTAATCACGACAACCAAACTAACGAAAAATATAATTATAGCGTGACGCTATGGTTGGGTTAATGACTTAATGTGCTTACTTGCTCATCTTATCTTTGATTAGAATATTTACTTAATAAGTGCGTTTAAAGTATAGTTTACACTTACTATTAAACTGGGATAGTTAATTTTCTCACAAAATGCCAAAAACAAGCGGACACGCTTCAGCTGATTAGTAAATATTTAACTTGCTTACGCCTCCCTTTTTATAGATCAAAACACTGCCATAATTCATACACTCTAATCTCATCTCTCTCTCTCTCTCTCAAAAGATCTCGGCGAGGTGAAAATGTGGAGGTTAACGGCGGTTACTTCACTACTGAAACGGAACAATTATATTCTTCAGCGTCATGGCTCCTCACATGCAGTAGCTCAGAGAACAACAACCTCCGTTCGCGAGACCGAGACAAAAGTTCCGAAAATGCCCCCGTTCAATTATTCTCCGCAGCCTTACGACGGTCCCTCCACCGCAGAGATCATAGCAAAGCGGCGAGAGTTCCTCAGCCCGGCTCTGTTTCACTTCTACAACACACCCGTAAAACGACGCCGCTTTATTTTAACCTCCCCGCATTAAAACGAATCGCTTTTGTTTTCCAACAATACTATGGTTTGTTTACTCTGTTTTTTCTTTTTTTACTGTTGGTGATAACAGTTAAACATTGTGGAGGGAAAGATGCAGTATGTGTTCGACGAGACGGGACGGCGATATTTAGATGCTTTCGGAGGCATAGCAACGGTTTCGTGCGGCCATAGCCACCCGCAAGTAGTTGACTCCGTCATCAAACAACTAAAACTTATTCAACACTCCACCATCCTTTATCTTAACCACACAATCTCCGACTTTGCTGAAGCCCTCGTCTCCAATCTTCCCGGGGATCTCAAGGTTGAAAAGAATCTGTGTGATTTAAGGTTTTTTTTTGGTAGCAGTAAGGTTGATACGATGACTTCACCAGCAAGGCAAAGGCATATAACTGTGTTTACTTTGTAGGTAGTGTTTTTCACGAATTCGGGTACGGAGGCGAATGAGCTGGCGATGATGATGGCTAGGCTATATACAGGATTTAACGACATCGTTTCGCTGAGGAACTCTTATCATGGAAACGCAGCTGCCACTATGGGAGCTACTGCTCAGTCCAACTGGAAGTTTAACGTCGTTCAGGTTCTTTTCCTTTTCACATGCATCTTTCATTTCCGTTTTCAAAATATCTTTTTGGCTACAAATATAATTCTAATCTGTAGGCATAAATCTTAATTATTCTGAATAATGAAATATACAAAAATGGAGCTCGTCATGCCCTAAATAATTAACTTTGTAACAGAGCGGAGTTCATCACGCCATAAATCCAGATCCTTACAGAGGAATATTTGGATCCGACGGTGAGAAGTATGCAAGTGACGTACAAGACCTTATCCAATTCGGAACTTCCGGACAAATTGCCGGTTTCATCGGCGAATCTATCCAGGCGAGATCAATTTTTTTTGAAAAAAAATATGAATGTATGTGTTTTAATAATATATAAGCTGAGATATTGAAACAGGGAGTTGGAGGAATCGTTGAGCTAGCACCGGGATATTTACCGGCGGTGTACGATATTGTGAGGAGAGCCGGAGGAGTTTGCATCGCCGATGAAGTCCAATCCGGTTTCGCTCGTACCGGAACCCATTTCTGGGGATTCCAATCGCATGGTGTTGTCCCTGACATCGTCACCATGGCTAAGGTTCACCATTATCATTTCACGTCATGGTTCATGCATCATTATTACTAATTTGATGTTTACAGGGGATCGGTAACGGTATACCACTTGGAGCGGTTGTAACAACACCGGAGATCGCCAGCGTTTTAAGTCGTCGGAGTTACTTTAATACCTTCGGCGGAAACCCAATGTGCACGGCCGCAGGACACGCAGTCCTTAGGGTCATTCATGAAGAGAAGCTCCAAGAGAACGCTTTGCTCGTTGGCTCACATCTCAAACATAGACTTACACTACTCAAAAACAAATACGAACGTACGTGAGTTCTTTCTTGTCTTGTACTTGTCCAGAGTCAAAACTGACTAAACACATGTGTTTAATTTTGTTCATTCTTTTTTTTTTTTTGGTTGAAAATATTCTTATCTATTCTCGAATATGTTTAGTCATCGGAGATGTGAGAGGAAGAGGATTGATGTTAGGAGTTGAGTTTGTCATAGACCGTGACTTAAAAACTCCTGCTAAAACAGAGACCATTCATTTAATGGATCAACTCAAAGGTTAGTTGTGTTCAATACTAAACCAAAACGATCCGATCCATAATATAAGATGAGTTCACTGACTCTGTGTTTAATATGGATATATTGGTAACAAGAAATGGGAGTGTTGGTGGGGAAAGGTGGATTCTATGGGAACGTATTCAGAATCACTCCTCCTCTCTGCTTTACCCTCTCCGACGCTGGTTAGCTCCATAGACTTTGATGTTACCTATATATAAGTTCAAATTGTCTTCTTCATTTCCATTCTTCTTTATCATAACTATTTTTCGTATTTTTTTATTTTGTAGATTTCCTTGTGGATGCGATGGATCACGCCATGTCCAAGATTTGATATGTACTATCTTTATATGATCATGATTATCACTCATCCTTGTGTATAAATAACACAGCACAAAAAGTAAATTATAATCTTTCAATTGGTTTTTAATTAGTACCCAATTATACCGCAGACTGATTAATTATAGTACACTTTATAGAACCTAAATATAAATTGTCGCCATATTATATTTGAATTATATTATATGAACTTGATAATCAGATTAAGCAAATGCGAGCCAGTAAATTATTTCCTTTGATCAATTGTCACTGACTAAAAAGATTATGACCGTTGTAACGGTAATGGTAACTTGATTAACGCTACGATTAGTTTCCAATTTTGTTGGCAGCAACCTAACTTTCCAATTTTTTATTAGCAGCAACCTAACGCTACGATCACTAAGTTGTGTGTTTTTCTTAAACTTTTTTCTTTCAACTTAACTAATTACTACCCTCCAAATTAAAGCTTCAATTATACTACTATCTGAATAAAGGTCATTAAATACTGTATTTAAGAATCGTTCTTATAATTTAAACAAAAGTAATTTAAATCATGGGGAAATTAATTTTAAAGGATGTTTTTTTTTAAATTTGTCCATTTATGCCTTCTTTTTTTAAGTTTGGTATATTAGGTTTTACAATAGGAAAATGCTCAATTATATCCTTACTTAAATTATATGGAAATAAACATCAAACTTTTTGAAAAAAAAAACATCAAATTAGGAAATTTTCTGTAAGAAAAAAAGATATTCTTAAATCTAAAAAAATCAAAAACATATATTATTTTTCCTTTTAAAAAAAAACTCTTCTCATTTAATATTGTAAAAAGGTAAAAAAAAACAAAGATAGACTCCACGATGTCAAAATTTTCTGAAAAATAAAAACTTCATTTGTTCGTGATTATCAAACCTAAACTAGGAAGATTGTTTGAGAATAGCTCTTTGATATTGTTAGTTTTTAATTTTTGGTCAAACTCAAGGACTGTATATACACCTAACGTTCACTCAAAATAAAAATATATGATTTCTAGATATTAGGGAATACAAAATATTTTGTTTCCTTTAATTTAGGATTCAATTTCCTTGTATAAGATAGTTCTAAAAATTCGTAGAATACATTTTCTAAAATATGAAGAACGAAGAGTAAAGTGTAGAATTGATGATCTAACTTTTGCAGAATATAGGGTAAAGTGTAGAAAATAAATTCTAAAATTTGTAGAATATAGAGTAACATGTAGAATACATATTCCAAATTTTGTAGAACACCAACCAAACCTGAGTTCTAATTTTTTTAGAAGATATATATATTCTAAAATTTTCAGAACAAGTGCAATGCGAAAAATTTGTAATCTACAATTTTTAGAACATGTAGAGTGTGCAGAATTCATAATCTAAAATATTTAGAATACAGAAGATGTATTCTAAATATTGCATAATGATTTTTTCAATATCAAAATCAACATACTTTCATCCAAAACTCTTTTGTTTAACATTAAATCTTATTAATCTTTAATTGTTGATATGTTTTAATTTAAAAATTAATTAAAAATTAATTTTATTTATTTAAAAGGGTAATTTAGGTATAACTGACAATTTACCGCAGAAAGCCTAAAAGGACAAATTTTTTAAAAAACATCCTTTAAAATCAAAACCCATTTGTAAAAGAATGACGACTGATCGAAATAAAAAAGGAGTTGCAATTATTAATGGTGTGGGAAATTGTAAAGGATGAGTAGACTCGTAAAGTCAAGTGTGCGCCGTGATGATATCTACTAGCACCGTCGTCTGTGTGTATACGGGATGATAAAGAAATGTTCTATCGTAGATTCGTAGGGGTCGTTCAAAGACTTTATGGGTGGGTTGGGTTAGTCACGTAACACTGAGCTTGTAGTCCTACTTCTCTCTCAAAACGTTTTAGTTGTGCTTTTTGTGTAGTTTTCTGTTCATCTTTTGAATATCTAGTCTGTTATCACAAAGTCACACAACATTTACTCTAATAAACTAAAGAGACTGTGAGTTAGGGTTTTGATAGAATTATGACTTTTTAGAGTTCTTTCTCTTCGGCAGTTTTTTTTTTTCTGTTTTTAATGCACATAAATCAGGTTTAAGCTACATTTTACTTAAAAAAATCAGATACTCCAATGATATCGATTAATTAATGGGTTCCTTGGTTACACTTTTCTCAATGATGCATACAAATTTTTTAATTGCCATATTTAACATGTATCATACAGTATATCGAATTTATACATAAAAAACATTAATCTCAAAATGTGATATTTGTCATAAAATAACATATATAAATTGAAAATTTTTATTCTTAAAGATAGCATTAAATTGTTGTAGTTAATTAGAGTTGGATATTTTCATCTCAAGAGGGTAAAACTAAAAACGGAAAGGAGAAAAAGAATGAGAGAGAAGTGGAAAGAAAACGCAAATGCATTGAAGACTTTCCCTTTGTCTCTCTCTCTTGACAAAATCCCAATTTTCGCATCCTCCTCACTTTCTCCTTTGCCTTTTTTTTTTTTTTTTGGTTTCTCTTCTCTCCTGCCGCCATCACCACCACCACTACTGTTAATTCGCCGCCGCTTCAACATCAATCGCCGTCGTAGTCTTCATCGTTCACCATCCTCCCCTTCTTTAGGTTCTTAGGGTTTCCGCTGCCGCTTCTCTGTCCCATCTGGGAGGGTTTTTCGAGCTGGATTTTCTGCTCTTGCGCCGCTGGTGCAGCGGCTTTGTTGATTGATCTGGATTTCTCCGTCCTCGCTTCTATTTTATTTTCGTTTTTCGCCCAATCCAAACAATAAGCTAGGGCTGAGGATTTGATTTGTGTGCTTCCGGGGGTGTTAATTCGGGGTGTGTTCTCCGATTTGGATGGCATTAGGAGACTTAATGGTGTCTCGGTTCTCGCAATCTTCTGTTTCTTTGGTCTCCAATCACCGTTACGACGACGACTGTGTCTCTAGTCACGATGACGGTGATTCACGGAGGAAGGATTCTGAGGCTAAGAGCAGTAGCTACGGGAATGGTACAACGGAGAGAGCCGCCACCGCCACCAGCATGGCATACTTGCCTCAGACTATTGTGCTCTGCGAGCTTCGACACGATGCTTCCGAGGCCTCTTCGCCCTTGGGGACTTCTGAAATTATATTGGTCCCCAAATGGCGGCTTAAAGAACGAGTAAGTTTTCGATCCAACATTGCTTTTAGCTACTACTATGATGGACAAGCTTGTGGATTGTTCTTTATTTCTAGTGCAACTGATTCTGTAAGTTGCCCATATAACTACATTGTTTCGAATTCATGATACAATTTGCTATTGTTCCCTACTATTTTGGGTGATGTTAATTGAGTAAGGTTATGTCAACGTATTATTGTGGAGATGAACCTTAAAGATACATGTTTTCATTTCATTTCAATCTCAGTGTCTCCTCAGAAAGTTTTCTATTTCTTGTAACCTAAATCTGGCATTTATTGGATCTGATTGTAAACTAACATGAAATGAACCTTAAATATAATTCTTTGTTGACTTAATTCTTCTTCTTTGCAGATGAAAACCGGATGTGTAGCTTTAGTTCTGTGTTTAAACATTACTGTTGATCCGCCGGATGTTATAAAGATATCTCCATGTGCTAGAATCGAGGCCTGGATAGGTTGAACCTTTGGTCAAATCAATCCAATTACTCTCTTCTTTTGCATGTTTATCCTTTTTCTTTGTCGCCAGAGTCATTTTTTTCTCTCTCGTTTTTTTTTTCCTGACGGCAGATCCATTTTCCATGGCCCCTCCTAAAGCTCTTGAGACAATTGGAAAGAACTTGAGCACTCAGTATGAGAGATGGCAACCAAGGGTGATGCTTTATTTTCCCGCACCCCTTCATTGCTGTTTGGGTAAGTTACGATATTCATGTATATTTTCTGATTTTTCTCAGGCCCGGTATAAGGTTCAACTAGATCCGACGGTAGATGAGGTGAGGAAGTTGTGCTTGACTTGTCGGAAATATGCAAAGACCGAGAGAGTTCTATTCCATTATAACGGGCATGGTGTGCCAAAGCCTACAGCTAATGGTGAAATTTGGGTTTTCAACAAGGTCTGATTTTACTAACTGCTTCTTTTCTCTACCATGTTCTTGTTTCTTTCCGTCTGTTACCACACGCTGACTGATCCTGTGTTTGAGCAGAGTTATACACAGTACATTCCCTTGCCAATCAGTGAGCTTGATTCCTGGTTGAAGACACCCTCCATCTACGTTTTCGACTGCTCTGCTGCTAGGATGATTCTTAATGCCTTTGCTGAGGTAAGGGAAATAACCACTTTACTCATATAAAGCATCTTCCTGTTGAGTTTAGGACTTGATTCTGTAATTGTCGTTCCATAAGTTGATAAAAGTCATTTACTCTTCATGGCAGCTTCATGATTGGGGTTCTTCTGGGTCCTCTGGATCCTCAAGGGACTGCATTCTACTTGCTGCTTGTGATGTACATGAGACACTTCCACAGAGCGTTGAATTTCCAGCTGATGTTTTTACATCTTGCCTCACGACACCTATTAAAATGGCGTTGAAATGGTAAATCCCCTTCCCATCTCCGACTATATTTGCGTACTCAGATGTTTATAGAATCTTAGATAGCATGTTCTTGCTTCATAATGAGGTATCGTCCAAATTCTTTGGCATAAGTGTTTCTGATGAGACCAAAGATGGATCGTAGTGCATTAGTCAGAAGACGTTATGTATATGTTTTACTTTTGTGGGGTGAGTAAAGCAGCATATCATGGGAGTTGTGAAATAATCAGGACTGATTATTACATTTAGCTGCCAAGTTACTTCGCATATGAAAGTTCACTGATATATAGTTTGCAACAATTTTTTTGTGTTGGCTAAGTATTTCTGATGAGACCAAAAGATTCATGACATCATCCCTGATTGAAGGCTTCTCCTTCTATAATACGTATTCTATAACTTTATGCAGTTCATTTATGGGCTTCTTGTTAACCTATTTCCTCTAAATAGATTACGGTTTTATGTTGAATGCGGTTGATTTAAACTACGCAGTTTAGATTGGCGTGCAGCTTTCACAAGAGACTTTCCATTGCAGGTTCTGCAGGCGTTCTCTTCTGA